AAACATTTATTTGCATGCTGATAATATTCAGCGATTTGACAGTCTCTCAAGCCTTACCTTTTATTGTGAGAAAGAATGAACCAACTCTAGTCAAAGAGCTCCTGATTTGGGGCCAATCGCAGATGGAACTGAGAAAAGTGCTGAATGTTTTTCGAATAAACATGCAAACCTATCTTCCAACCAGTTACTCTAGCTTCAAAGAGATAAAGAGTTGAAAAGCTTCTCTTTAGAGAGTGAAATAAGTACTATTTGTCCGATGATGAAAATTCTTTGCTTTAAACATCTCCAAATTTAGGACATATAAGATATACAGATATTCATTATTTAACTACTTTGAGATAATTTTATGTCTTCGGAGTTCTAATCATTTTTTTTTTGAAAGTTACTTTTAAAGATGTTCATTTTTAGTGAAAGCACTAAAATACAATGTCATTCTTCAATGACAGTTTTCCATGCAATGTTTTTTACTTTAAGTAAAAACAACATTGCTTATACTGCCAAGCACTGCTGAAAAGGTCTCTGCATCATAAAAGGATTTGAAGCCTCATTTATTACTATCTAAATTGTACATTGTATGCTTGCTAGTGACGTATTATAAACTCAATAACCTTTCCTATATAGACTAATAGATAACATAATAAACAATTCAAAAGTTTTTTTGAAAAACATGATTTGGTGAATTCCTAACATAAAACAAATCTTTTTATTCTCCCAAAACAAATGCTGGTTGTGTGCCCGCCTCAACAGTTTTGTCCAGCAGTGTTTGGTAAGCCCGGTCATTTAAGATGACACTGAAAGAGACGAGATAAAATGACAAGGAGGCTAATGGGTCTGAATTCCATCACCAAAGAGCAAAACTCTGAGGCGTTATGACTGGTTTTTGTTTCCCACTTTGCAACACACAAAGTTATTTGTGTTTTCCTCAGGGAAAAAGAAAATAAACTTCAGAGACTCAAACCTATCAGCACTGACCAAACTAACCTAAAAATCTGTCCTAGTCAGAGCTAATGTAATTTGCTTCGTATCAAAGTTTATGTCAGTTTTTAAATTGAATTTGAGGTCCAAATTGTCATGGTGATGACCACATTTCTTCAGCCAAGTAAGAATAGAGGAGCTAATAGTATTTCTGTGGTCTAAAATTGGGGTTCAGAGTGTCGAAAGCATTGGTACTGATCTTGCGATTTCCTAATATGACTGCAAATAAGAGGATTGACTCTTGAGCTCTGTTCAGTATGATATGTGAAAATTTAGGGTGATAATAAAGGACAACTGATATAGAATTCATTCAGCTGGCTTTTGTGACACAGGAATAACTTTAGTTATTGGCTCCTATATTCTCATACATAGTACTTAATATAAGACAATAATGCTGGATTTAATATTGATCTGTGTCTAGTTCCTTACAACTGCTGGAATATTCTGGGCTGAATTTATGCATTGACTATGTCAAAAAATAATCAAAGGATTTTAACTATGCCATTATTTTAAAACCCTTCATTGAATTTATTGCCATCAGAAAATATAAGCTTTAGAGCCTTTTGCATTGCCAAAAATGTCCCATCCTACTGGTTCCTACAGACCTTGTCACTTCCTGTCAAGAGATGGAATCTATGTCTCTCGCCCCTTGAAACTTGGTGGCCCCTGACAAATAGAAGGTATAAGACGTGACACCACGTGATTTCTGAGGCTAAGTTGGGAAACACTATGCAGTGTCTTCCAGTCTCACTTGGGATATTCACCCATGGAGCCCTAAGCCTCCATGTCGGTAAGAAGTGCCAAGTGGCCATGCTGGGAGGAAGGCCAAACTAGGCCACACAAAGAGACCACATGGAGAGGCCCCAATACTGCAGAAGAGAGAGGTGACTGGTCAGCCCCCAGCAGCTTCAATCACCATCTGACTGCATTCACACCAGGCTCCTCAAGGATTCTACTTGCAGAAGCCCCCAACCAAGTCATGTGTGGATTCCTGATCCACAAAAACTGGGAACAGTAATAAATTATTTTGGTTGTTTTAAGCCGCTAAGTTTTGCAGTAATGTTATACAATGTTAGATAATAGGAAACAACTTCTACCTTATACCTTAATTAAGGGATCTCTTCAATAAGGGGTCTGCAAGTGGATCTGTAGTGTACTGCCCAGATTCTCCCTCTATCTCTCTCCATTCCAGGCAGAACTAAGGAACTCATTCTCCCAGGAGAAAAGAATGCTGGCTGCTGAGGGCTTATCACTGTGTCCCTGTCTAGGCATTGCCCTCAGCCAAAGGGAGCTGCCTTCCCCAAGGTACGTCCCTGCGTAAGGACAGCTCACTTCCAATAGTGATTAATGCAGGATGCTAAGACCTGGCCTCCTTTCCTTAATTCAGGCAACACAGAAGGGTCATCACAGCTCCAGAGTTCCTGTAGGGTAGGCTAAGGCCTTGGTTGCAGCAGTATCAGCTCAATTTCTTCCTCTGCTCAGTCTTGCTTCCCTCACTCCGTTATAGGTGATATTCTGAGTGTCTGCCTCAGTAACCTACTACACACAGATCTCCATTTCAAGGATAGTTCACAGATAACCTAAACAGGCTTCAATCCGAGGTTAATTGCCATTGGAAAAGAGGGTGAAATCAGGCTCTATAATTCCCTGGTTTTCCCAGTAAACAGCAGTAATAACTAAAGAGACCTTGATTCTTATTATTATAAGAATGTGATTAAGTTTCAAATCAACTGATTACAACCTGTAGACTCAGAGAGTTTCCCAGACAGTCTTTATGGCATCCTTTACTCATTCTGACACTTGCTAGAAATTACCTAATTGTACTGACCAAAACTATTTTGCCTTAGGAAATTTTAGTCAAAACTGATGTTTCAGAAGAGAGTGTGTTAAAAATAAAGTGATCGTATTATAAATCTACATTAGCAATGAAACACCTGAAACAAGACCACACCCATTCCTAAATCTGGGTCCTGGATGTATAGAAGAAATTAAATAGATAACTGCTTATTTTAAGAAAGAAGACTTTTTGCAGCAAAGCTTATGAGATTTGAAGGTGCCTAGTTCCATTTTTTCTGGAAGAAAATTGTTTCATTTTCTTACTTGTTTCCTCTCTTATTTCATCCACCAGTCATCTTCCAAAAGTGATTCATTTCTTCATAAGGACTGTGAAAAAAAAAAAGACTGAGTTCAGACATTATTGCTAGAGGCTGATGGTATGAGGACAGCTCAATGATTTAAACCAGAGGACATTTTCATTTTTTAAACCAGGTCCTATCTTCTACTTCAGGCATTTTATAATTCACACAAGCTAGAAGCTCATTTTCTCACTTGTCTATCCTATGTTTGCAGACTCTTCTATATCTTTACATGAGCACAGCTCCCAACAGGAACTATTGGCTTCTCAACTTTTTCAAAGTCCTCTTGCGGACATTACATCAGCACACACACTTACTGGCTTCTCAATAATATGCACAGTGTAATATGGAATTGTTCTGGGAAGTAAAATAATGTATTATTCTTTTTGATATTCAAATTATGTTATTCTAATCCCCCAATCCACCAGTGGAGGAAAGTATTTCTTCCATCTTTGGGGTCTTTCAACAGAAAAGAAGTCCCAAAACTCAGATGTGTTTACTCAGTCCAGTAGGTCAGTTTTGATGACTGTTCTTCCAGAAGAGAAAATGGAACATACTCCTGTCTCATTTCATAGCCTACCATCAACAATCAAAATATAGATCCACTATTCCAACACACATAGGCTTGATTTCCCAAAGCATATCAACCAAGGGCAGCAAGATTCTTAAAACAGTATCGTGATGTGGTGTTTCTCTAATTCAGCTCCACTAGGTCTAGAGGAACTCAAGTATTACTCCCCTCAAAATACAACTTGGAACTTCTGAGAATTCTCAGAAGGGTCCTACACATGCTCCATGAAATATTCTTTCAATATTCACAGTTTCCACTTCTCAGCTATTACTGCTGCTTATCTTGGAACTGTCTCTTGTCATGGCTGACCACAAAGTATTACTTTCAACCATAACCCATTGTCACTTGTCATTGACAATGCCCACTAGAAGCACAGCACTGTGGATGCATGCCAGAGTGCTGCCACTGTGGCTCCTACCTGGCCAGGACACTAACATGACAAGGCCATTGGCTGTTCCCAGCAAAGCCACATTAAGACAAGTACTGTGCACACTAAGGGAGCTGCCTTCCATCAGTGCCACCTCTGGAGTCCTGGATTGCTGGCACTTCATCTCCAAGAGTTCTTTAGCTTTTGCCCCATCTCATTTCAGCCCCTCTCTCTTGGACATGGACCTGCACCCCTGAGGGCAATTACAGATTCATTCTGTGCTTCCTCAGAGCTCACTTTGTGCAAGATAAGCAGCATGTTTTACTTTGCTTTCAGGGTATCTTCTTGCCTACTGAGTGCCCTGTTCTTACTGGGCAACAGAGCCTGGTGGGCCCATCCACTGGTCCTTCAGACATGCTCACACATGCTCAGACCCTGGGGCGAACACAGCTCAGCCTCCCACTGCAACTTCTGCTACCAGCATGAGGCCACATTTATTTTATGGATTAGGGATGACTAATGGCTATAGGCTCAAAGCCTCTGGAGAGACATTGAGATCAAGGTGGGTGCCGAGGTTACTTTGGCAGGACTCAATTACACACTGAAGTTCAATGTGATGAGATGGGAAGCCTCCAGAAAGTTTCCTGAAGAGGAAGAGGAATGTTTAGGGGCCACGGCTCAGTTATAATATTTTTATTTCACCCCAATTTCAACACTGACTATCCCTTTGATTATCCTTTAGCACCTATGTTCTCCCTCGAGGATGAATAATATTGTGTTTGTTGTGTGAAGAGAGAAACCCTGTAAAAGAGAAGATGTCTATTTTATGTCAGCCTCCTCCACAGGCCCAGGGATTTACAGCACTGTGAGGTTCTTTAAGGAAAAAATTTCAATTTTCTGAAATCTATGAAAGAGAAACTGTCAGCTCTATTCCTAAGGAGTCAATTAATTAAAGTTAAGTCCCCACAACCACTGCCAAATACCAGCTCCAGATTAAGGGACATGGACACGCATTACGCTTTGACCTCTTGTCACCGGTGGAGTACTGGGCAGATTTGTGGAAAGTAGCTTGTGTGCTGATCCAACAGAAATGGGTATTAGCTCACAGCAAAGGAAGATAAAGAGTTCAAGGACAATTTCAAGCATTTAAAGTTTGGAGTTTTTTATTTTTCTTTCCCCTCTCTTCTTCTCTTTATGAAGTTTTCAATTTTTTTTTTCACCCACACATGTATTTCTTGAATCGCTTCAGTACTGTCTTCTCATGGTGGGTTGTCAGGGATGAATGATTACTTTGAAGTCTGACTGGTTTGGAGTTTGAGTAGCTACCTCTCTTGGCTTTCAGATGTACGAAGAATCAGTGTGATTCTGTTGCAAAGCTCCCAGTTTAGAGCCAGGCACAGAAGAGTAGAGTAGGTCCCCGGGTGTAAGAGTTGGCTGCTCACATTGGAAAAATGATAGTTTTGTCCTCAGGGGAGCATCAGCCCAGTGGGAGTGCTTACTCCGGTCCTCAGCCCTAAACCTTTCACCTCAGGTGGAGGCGAGTGTGAAAGTTCAGGGTCTGAGATTTCTTCTCTGCTTTCCATCCTCCAGATTCCTCTATGAAAAGGTAATCTCAAGTCCAAGCAATTATCATTCATTTCTACTTTATTAGAGATTAGTTTATTAGGCTACTTTCCCAGATAACAAGAGGAAATAGCATGGAGCAGGAAAGTTTAAGAACGCTGGGCTTCCATAAAGGGGTTTTAAGAACTAAAGAAGAGGAACATGGCTAGGTGAACTGGGAAGAAGGAAGCAAACAAATGGAATATCCATTATGTACCGTAACAACCCAATTAAGTGAGCATTCCCCCAAAGTAGGTACATATTGTTTTTGGATTTTTTTAAACATGAGAAAACTGAAGTTCAGAGAAGTTAATAATTTGTCCATTTTGGCTGTGGAGCCAAGATTCCAAGTCAGGACAGCCTGATCCCTCTGCCATGGTCTCTCCCTGGAGTCTGTCCCATCAGTTAGATCATTTTCCCACGGAAGCCACAGCTGGTAGAGGCTTCTCCATCCCTGAGCCTGCAGACGGATGGTTTCAGAGCTCCCTCTATGGAGGCCTGGAACCGTCGCTGCTTCCTAACCTGCTGGCTGAGAGTTGCTGAGAGTCTAGTTGGATGCGTCTTAAACCAGATGCCCTGTAATAATAATTAAAAATAGCATACTAATACCATTGTTTATTGAAGGCTTGCACTGTGCCAGACACGTGCTAAACACCTCACAGACACTGTCTCAGAGAGAATGCAAGTTAAGCAAATACCATCGCTGGTCATTGGCCTTTGAACCCCAAAGCCACACAATCTCAGTGTGTGTCCAAGTCATAGAACCAGCTTATTAACTGATCTACAAACCAATTTCATTTTATTTTTCTCTGCCTATTAAACACCTCACCTGTTCTTTCCTGACCCTGAAATGAAATCTTAGGGATGTCTCTGGTTTCTAATACTGCTTAGATAATAAAAGTTCTCTGGTTTCCTTCAAATTTTGTTGAGTTCAGTCCAGCTAAAAATTACAGAGTTCAGTCTGTTCTAGTAGAATAATAAAACTCCTAAATCATTCAAACTTAAAACTTCTCTCCCAATCATTCCATTCGGATCTGCTCCACCTTAGAATTTTGCCACGAGGAAGGGGAGGAGCAATGATTGACTTCTTTCCTTTCGTCATCTCCTCTTCCCCCCACCAGTTTCTGTTTTGGACCACTCTGTGACTGGGCCTGGGGGTAGGGCTTAGAGAGAAAAGGTACAGATGTGAATTAGTGTCATGACCTTTGGGCATGAGTCATGTCTGACTTTCATTCTTGTGGGGCACATTGTCAGGTTCCTAGAGAATCCAGCTGTGGCCTCTTGAACAGGCAATCCCTCGTTTCTGGCTGACCACTTGGCACCCCCTCAGTCTCTGGGTTTTAGGATTCTATGCCTCTGTGGGGTCTACTCTAAACCTTCAGAGTATCTGCATGGACAGGCTGGCTCTCTCCAGCGAGGCCCACATCTGATCCAAGGAAAACAATCGCTCTTGCCCTGCCGTCTTGTTCATACCCAAGGAGATTCACTCTCCTTTTGCTCTGCCAGCTCCAGGCTGACCTAGCCACAGAGTCAAGCCTGGGGATGGGGTGCGCCAGACACAAGGTCAAGCTGTCTGAGTGGTTCCCTGAAGCACTTCTTACTTGGGTTAATGGGTAGCACTCTCCCCTTCCCCATAGCAAGACTTGGGGTAAGGGAGAGAGGGAGAAGAGAAACACCCCAGCACTCCAAACCGCCTCTGAAGGAAACGTCTATGAACCCTTAAGCAGTTTCACAGAACCTCAGCCATCTCCTTAGCACGCCCTGCAGATGGAAAACAGCTTTGGCGCCTCGTGTTTCATTCTCGGCTTTGAGGCTCAAACTGAGACAGCAGAGAAGCTTCCGAAGTCCTATTATACTCCAGTAAAGGGACACTTTCACATTCTCACCCTTTTCTTCCATCACTGAGAAATTCTGTGCTTCGCAACTATCAAAACTCCTTGTATTGTCAGGTTCTTGAAAGGCAAACAGCATGCCCGCTCTGGCTCGCACACACCATGACTGCGTGCAAACCCCACTTCCCAGGGGAAGATTACGCCATCTGGACTTTTCATATTTTTTGAGCTATGTAATTTTTCTAGATTTTTTTAGTCAGCCCATCACCCTCAACAATTTCTGAAATGTTATTGCAATTGGACAGAAAACAATTTTATTATCATTTTAAAGATCCTCTACATCTCCTTTAAACCTGCTTGAAAAATAAAAAACCCATCCGTCATAGTCTAGCCTTCTTCTCCAAACTTTAAATATGACTACTTAAGGCTTTTATTTTTCTCTCTTCAGTGATAATGTGAAGACCATATAATCTGGGAGAAAGTTTCTCTGAGAATAGGTGCGAAGATAATATTTTCAACAAAATATATTTTTCCTATTATCAACATTAAATATATATTAATCCATCTCATAGTAGTTCCTTAAAGATCACAGGCTAAAGAATAATGATCAAGTTATAGCTTGGATTCTCTGCATGCAATACCAATATATTTTAGCTAAAT